GATTGTTGGGTATTGCAGCCTTTCACTGCAGCTCCTTTTTGCAAAAGAAATTAATCTTATGGAGTATGATACTTCTAAAAACCCAGTGCTTATGTTTGTGTTTATTTGAGGATGATAAGACCTGGGTTGCTAGGTGTTGCAACCTTAGTGTAGCTGGCTTTTGTGAAAAGAGTTGACCTTTTGTGTAATACCCAGTACACATGTTTGTGTTCACTTGAGGATGATAATGATAACACCTGGGTTATTAGGTGTTGTAACCTCTCCACTGAAGCTGTCTTTTGTGAAAGAAGTTGATCTTATTGAGTGTGATACTATTCAAAACATCCAGTACACATGTCTGTATTTACTCATAAATGATAATGATAATACCTGGTTTGTTGGGTTTTGCACCTTCTCACTGCAGCTCCCTTTTATAAAAGGAGCCGATCCTATGAAGTGTGATACTTCTCGAAATATCCCTGTGGAAAGTTAAAGTACCTATGTTGTTTTTTTAAGATAATTCGCCAAGTCAAAAATTCAATAACTATGTTGGCAGCACAAGCCTGTTCTACATAAAAAATTTGAAAGCATTGACAATTTTACATTGCATTGCCAACATAATGTCATTTTGACTTTTATCTTTAAAAAAAAAACTTTATGAGGTATTGAAAATTTGCACTATCCCCGCCGTTTGTCGAAAAATTGAAAAATCTTATGCTACTTGCTTTGGCTAATTTTGCACAATTTTGCGCACGTTTCTGGGGAAAGTTATAAGGCATTAAAATTTTGCACTTTCCCCACCGTTTGTCGATAAATTGAAAGATCCTATGCTTGTCTCCCTACTCTCCCCACTCTCCCCCCCTCGTTTTTCAAAAAGTTGAAAAATCCTTATGCTACTAGGTTCACCCAATTTTGCACAACTTTGCACACCTATTTTCAAATTTTGCAAAATGTGCACTTTCCCGCCGGTTTTTTGAGAAAATGAAAAATTCTTATGTTACTCAATTCGGGTTGAAAATAGGCGTGCAAAATGGAGTGAACCCAGTAGCAAGAGTTTTTCAATTTTTTGACAAACAGGGGAAAACGTGCAAATTTTTATTACAACATTTAACTCCCAGAGGAATGATTAAAATTAAAAAAAAAGGTGTGCAAAATTGTGCAAAATTAGCCGAAACGAGTAGCTTAAAAAAATTTCAAGTTTCAGATAAACGGGGAAAAAAGTGCACATTTATCACACCTCATAACTTTTCCCAGAAGAGTTTGCAAAATTTGAAAATAGGTGTGCAAAATTGTGCAAAATTAGGTGAACCTAGTAGCATTGAGGTTATATTAATTTTTTGAAAAACGAGGGGGAAAATGCAAATTATTGATATTATCTATTCACAATCCCATGTCCATAAAGGTAAAATTTATCACCTTTCAGTGCTATTTGATATGGAAAGGTGATAAATTTACCTTTACCTTTGGACTACGGATTGTGAATAGGATATACCTTATAACTTTCCCAAGAAGCGTGTGCAATATTTAAAAATGGGTGTGCAAAATTAACCGGAGCGAGTAGCATATTAAAATAACTATTTCATTTTTTTTACAAACGGGAGGGAAAGTGCAAATTTTTAGTGCCTCAAAACTTTCCCCAGAGGAGTGTGCAAGATTGTGCAAAATAAACCAAAGCGAGTAGCATAAGATTTTTCAATTTTCGACAACCGGCGGAGATAGTGCAAATTTTTAAGCTTCATACTTTTCTCCAGAGGAGTGTGCAAAATTTGGAAATAGGTATGCAAAATTGTGCAAAATAAGGTAAACCGAATAGCTGGAAAAAATTTAAATTTTTTGAAAAACAAGGGTGAAAATGTAAATTTTTGGTACCTATCAACTTTCCCTGGAAGCGAGTGCAAAATTAGCCGAAGCGAGTAGCATATGAATTTTTCAAGTTTTAGATAAACGGGGAAAAAGTGCACATTTATCACACCTCATAACTTTTCCCAGAAGAGCGTGCAAAATTTGGAAATAGGTGTGCAAAATTGTCCAAAATTAGATAAAACGAGTAGCATAGGGGTCTGTCAATTTTTTTAAAAACGGGTGGGGTTATGCAAATTTTTGTGTGCAAAATTATGGGTAATTTATTTGTGAAATTTGTATATTTGTCGAAAAAAAGCAAATTTTCAAAGATGGGGGTAGTCCTGACAACCTGCCCACCTCTCGACCTGTCATATTTTGACAGCTGTCAAAAATTACATTTGACAGCTGTTGAGTATTCCAAATTGTGTTATCATCCGAACTTAAACTGTATGCAAAATTTCAGCAAAATCTTTACTGATAAGTTTTTAAAGTGAACTATAAATGGCTTTACGGTCGGCCGTGTTTTAATATTTTACTGTTACTGCTACTGTTACTGATACTGACACTATAAATCCAGCTTTAGTCATATCAATGCTAAACGTTCAAGACTTCCTTACGTTCCTTACGGTTCAAGAAAACCGACTATAAATTCGACCCTAAATGAATGATGGTAGCATTAGTACAGGAGATTAATATGAATTATTGTTGTCCCAGATACTTTTGGTGAAGATGATACATGTTTAACAGCCTACCTGAATTGAGTAGTACCCTTTCCTATTTAAGAGTCCGGATTATGTGTAGGCTTATCAATTTTGATGTGTGATCCATCAATTGCCCCTATGATATTTGGGAAGCCATTTCTTCTGAAATGTTCCTCTGAAATGCGCTTTTCCTTATCTGTGGGCCATTTTATTATATCCCTTGAAATATTACTCAAAAATAGAGTAAAAAGTGTCCCAATTCTATTCACAGAGCTTATGCTTATGTTGAATCGGTCGCTCACGTTCCTAAAACTTGCCGTCTAATGGCCCATATACCATAAATGGATCAGTACCTAAAAGAGAATTGAAATAATATTGGGTTGCATAAAAATATTACATTTTTGTAGGAATACTTTGAATAAATTTTCGTTTACGAATAAGCAGCTAGAGAATAAGCATTGCTTTGTTGGAATACTTTAACGTTATCATTTATCCCATTACTTTTTGTGAAGGTACCTATATAATTTTATTAGACATTTTAAACTTACTTGATCTGAAGCAGGAATATCACCAAACTGGCCAGATTGATGATGAAAATATTGGCTATTACTAAACGCCTCCACTATATAGTCCACCATTTCTCTGGACAGTCGAAAATGTTCAAAAAACGTTTCATTTTTGTACTGAGGCACTGTATTCTCTAAAAGAATAAGGAATATTTTTACCTAATTGTGAAATTACAATAATAACCTGCAAAATACCAGCTTGTTTCAGCCAAAGCTACAAATAAATAAGTGTAGCTTTTTAAAAAGATTTAAAGAGATTTCTTTTTTTTTTTTGTAAACAACAAACCTAAATATTGTTCGTTTTTCACCCTTTCGTTGCGTAATTCCAATTCATCATCACCTTCATTATCTGAGTCGGACAAAAAATCACTCATACCATCGTCACTCACTTTGAAGATAAATCAAATATCAAATTCAATAATCGGCTAAGGAGCCGTTAAAGCATCAAGTTTAAATATTTATTGAAATTTTTAATTTCGAATGTAAACAAGCAAGGAAAAAGGAAATGAATGCAGGTTGAAGATATGATAGAATAAAACAACCGTTGAAAAATCAATAATCCAGACGCTAAATGTGCAAGTCAACCCGAGCAGTTCTCAATTTGGGCTATGTACCGAAATTACCGTTCTGAAACGGTGACAAAAACGATCCAAAGTTCGGTTGGTACATAAAAAGTATTATCGGATAACCGCCATGAGTCGGTTTGAACGCGATTTATTCACTGCGTATGAGCGTGATCGTTCGGTGACGGGTTGGAATAAACCTAATATCTTCCGGCAATTCAGCTATCAAATGGTCGGTTACTATCCGGAACAAGTTCGTTATACGTTCTTGATTAGAATTTAAAAACATTTCGGAAATAGCGTTTATCGTCTCATTTTGCGTTGCCCTTTGGATAATATTATTTGTAAGTTGTGGTATTGAATAATTCGACAGAATACTTATCTTAGATTTCTCAGTACAGTTAGCAAGTATTGTTTGAATAAACTCTCTGAATCCATCATCATTCAATCTTCGAATTGATTCAGCAGGTATATCGGTTGGATTGGGATTAATGTGAGGTAAAACTCGAGTTTTTAAAAACGTTTCTTTGTCATAACGTCCAGTTTGGATAATGTCCGAGATTAGCGAACTCAGCTCTTCCATATTTTCACTTGAATGTTGCCTTTTGGATAATATTATTTGTAAGTTGTGGTATTGAATAATTCGACAGAATACTTATCTTAGATTTCTCAGTGCAGTTAGCAAGTATTGTTTGAATAAACTCTCTGAATCCATCATCATTCGATCTTCGAATTGATTCAGCAGGTATATCGGTTGGACTAGTCCAACATGGGACACAATTGGGACCAATGTGAGATAAGTCGCAAGTTTTTAAAAACGTTTCTTTGTCGTAACCTCCAGTTTGGATAATGTCCGAGATAAGTGAACTCAGCTCTTCCATGTCTTCACTTGAATATAATTTTTCATTTAACATATTATATCTCTAGGGTTAGGTCAAGGGATCAAGGGGCTTAAGTCAAAATTTCAATATTCCAGGAAATAAGGTTTTAAAAGTGCATAATGTTTCGTAAATCCAATTATTACTTCGAAAAGCTAATATTTGGACCTAAGCATTAGTATTAAAGTAGTTTGAAGTCAGTATATAGTTATTCTGACAACAATGCATACTTACCTGGATTTGACTGACTTAAGTCTGTATTACCAGTAAGTTCGTGATTACCTGTATTTTTATTGTTTTATATAGAAGGCTTAAGTCAAATAAAGAAACATAATAAAACATCTATCAATTAAGTTGTTTATTGAAAGAAAAAAATTATAATAATGCAAGAAAAGAAAATTAAAAACTACTATTTTTGAGCACTTAATCATCTTCATCTACTTCTTCTTCTATCTAATCGGGATCATTCAATCAATCATTCATAGAAGTTAGCAGATTTCTATAGAACTCGTGAAAGACTGATGTTATTAGGCATAGCAACGAGCACAAGTCACGTTTCTTCTCAGTAGATATTGGAATGAAACCATCATATTTTGAACGAACTGGAAAATCCTTTAAGACATGTTTTCTTCTTCGTCTTAAGCAGCTAAGAACTTTGAAATATTCAGTGTTACTTAAAGCAGTTTTGTAATGAACTAGACCATTCTCTTTATATTGGAGCCATTGGACAGTATGCCACGAAAATGTATCTCCTGATATGTCCTTTTTCCTACAAATCAATCCTGATTTCAATAAAGCAGCAAAATCAGAAAATTCTTCCTGTTGCATTTCGTGAACCTCAAATTGTTTCTTTCTGCCCGTTTTTCTGACTAACTGATACCAATCATGTGGATGGTAAACTGGAATTTCCATTATCTTTTTTTGCTTTTCTATCATGGAGTGATCTATATCACATTCCATATGTGTATGACCGGGTACAAGAAACTTGTGATTTATTATTAAATTTGGATTTTTACTTTGAGCTTTTATAAACATGGCAGCTACATGACTATTTTTATTTTGTCCACCGCAGGTATCTGAGTAAAAAGTAACTTCACTAATGGAATCGGGCAAATTTTTTAGGTGACGATACAAGCAGGATGCAATTTCATTTCCCCCTCTGGAAGCCATAGCTTCTTGCCACATGTAGTTTGTCGATTCTCCAGTAGCATTATCGTGAATGGTCAGATTGTAGGTCCATAATTGCCTTTTGTAGAAAGCACCTGAAGAAACAATAAAGGGTGTTGGGAAAGATTGTTGTAGATCTAAACTAAAACACTTTTTTTTTAAATCAATTTTGGCTTCTTTGTCTATCTTTTTTGCATCGTACGCTGTGTTAGCGAGCTCCTGGTGTAACTGGAGATCCCTTTCAGCATTCTGTTTATCTTCACCATTGGCAACTTTTACCTGCATATTCAGAGTGTCACATTTATAGCAAGTATCAACATAAGGTTTTTTAAACGAAAGCTTTAATTTATGAAATTCTCTTTCATATATTGATCGGCCAACAGCATTTTTCCTTCCTTTTTTATAGAGGTCATACATAATTAGCAGGTATAAGTGAGATGGTAGATATTTTCTATCTTCCATAGTTATTCCAGAAGTACTTGTTTTTTTTTAAAACATTTTTTATGAATCCCTCTTTCTAGTCTAAAGTCCTGCAGAAACACTCTTTGCACACAGAGACTCGTTGGCCGTTTATTCCAAGAAAGTATTCATACCTACTCTTAGAAACAAAAAAGCACAAATGCAAAAAAAATCACAAATAAAAATATGGAGATTGGAACGTTTTTATTGATTTGAGTAAGCTCTTTTGGTATCCTTCTTGGTAAACTTAACATAAAAACATAAAACATAAAACACATTCTGAGTGAAAATGGTAACGAGCTGCAAAATGAAAGAGAAATAGCTGAGGAGTTCAACAGATATTTTGCCCAGGTAGGACAACACCTTGCACAAAATATACCAGATACACCAAACCAGCAGTTTGAAGAAGAAGAAGTGGCATCAACTATCTACTTTTACCCTACTGACTCACAAGAGGTAGCACACATTATAAGCGAATTGGAAAATAATTGCTCACCAGGTGAGGACCAAATCACAAAAAAAGGACTTGTTACAAGTTCAAGATCTACTGGAAGAAACGATTGTTGAACTCATCAATAATATATTAGGTACTGGCATGTCTCCAACAGAGTTCAAGAATTCCAAAATAACTCCTATATATAAAAAAGGGTCACATAGAAATACAACCAACTATAGGCCCATATCTGTATTGTGTCTATTCTCCAAAATTGCAGAAAAAATAATAAAAACACGAATAATTAACTTCATAAATAATACATCTGGTATGGACAAATATCAATATGGTTTCCAGAAACAGAGCAGCACCCTGGGAGCGACGGCTGATCTGCTTGAATATGTGTCCTCTGAAATTGACTAAAACAAATATGTGCTCACTATATTTGTGGATCTCCAAAAAGCCTTCGACGCAGTTGATGTAGATATTCTTCTTGGAAAACTGAAAAGAATGGGCTTCAGAAGTGTTGGATATACACTAATGGGATCATAATCTAAGTATCGGACACATTGCACTGAAATTAACAAGATCAAGAGCAATAAAGCTGAATTGAAAGTCGGAATTGCCCAGGGTTCTGTACTTGGCCCACTGCAATATTTATTATATGTTAAAAATTTAAAGTATGCGGGTCTGAAAGCCAAATACTACATGTTCGCAGATGATACAGCTCTAGTTTTAACTGCAGATAATGCTGAGGAACTCGAAAATCTAGCAAACCAAGATTTGAACCTATATTTTAGGTGGTTGTGTATAACGTACTTATTTTGGCAATTGCCTAATTATACTGCATACGGCTAGTCAGCATCAGTTCGGCGGCCATGGGTCTATGGGTTCCTTGTATACATCTTACCTTTGGGCGCCACCAAGTTAATTGTGACTTAACTAGGAAGATAACTTAATGATGTTATAAACAAAACCTGTGCAATTGGAGAGCTTATCAATAAAACAACTAATTAGGTACAATAATGTATCTGGCTTCTTTATTAAAAATAATAACAAAATATAGGGATAGCCAGGAGGTTATTAAAAATGTGTTTAGAATAATGCTTGTACCAATTTATAAATATTTGATTATAAAAAAAAATAAGAATGTAAATAATGTATAAAAATATTGATTTTTAAATAAACAGTTTTAACTGTCTGTTTACACTTGTGAAAGATTAGAACCACAATATCAGTTACACTCTACCAAGAGGCAAATTCAACACCAGAAAGGTGAAAATTATTGTTAGGGCAACCTCAGGGTAAAATTCTAGAATTTTATTTAAGGGGCACTTACTGACGTAATTCGGTGTCAGATGATTTATATAAGATTTGCCTAAATAGTAAAGGTGCAACTTACATGTATACAAGTGAAATGTATGTGAAAATCCAGAAGTTTCCAAAGTGAGATTATCTACAGGTTTGGTCTCACTATAGATAGGCTAAGGTATGGTAAGTGAGTCATGAGTCCTATCCACGTTGTATCTGTTTAACGTAGAACCCAATGTGGTTCTAGCAGAGTGGTTCCAATAGAGTTGCTGAAGAAAGGCTACCAAAGCCCCAACTGAGAGCAATCTAGATTCAGTCTAGAATCTCTCTAAATACAGCTTAGCAACTGTCCAACTATAGCCTAAGACTGTCTAGCTACAGCCTAGTACTAGGAGTAGGAGTAGGATTGTCCAACTATAGCCTGAGACTAGAACCCTCAAATTGAGGGATACTCTAGACCAAAGGTGAAGTCTTAAACTTCCAAATGCTGCTCGGAACAGTCCGAAACAGAATCCAAAAATGACCAAGGGACGACTCTAGACAATTATCAGCAAGAAATTAGTCTAAAACTTGAGTTCCCTGGCACAAAATTCCAAAAAGTCTCGCCCCAAAAATAATTAGGGCCGAGGCCCGAGACCGGACGACTGCTCAGCGTGAGGTCGCAGATCAAAAGGGCAGATTCTTCATTTAGAATTTAGATTTCGGAAGAAGACTTTCATCTGTCAAACTTCTAATTTTGACATTGAAGAAAATTATAGAAAAGGACGTGTTCAGTTTCACCCCAAAAGTACGAACTGAGAATCGGTTGTGTAAAAAATGACTGGTGAATGTTGAAAAGTGCCTATAGAACATATATCAAAAGGTAGAACAGGTCTAAAGAAAACGCCTAGACAAAACAGCTGTTCAATGACATGATGGAAATGAAAAGTCAAAAAGTAAACAACAATTATTATCATACCCTCAGATTATTGATTGGATTTGCAAACAGAGATGATGATGATGGTACTAACTCCTTTTCCTAAGATTCTAATCAATAACAGCGGGCCCTGCCGTACTGAATCAACCCTTCCTAGATCAATTAACAAAACTTGCAAACCTGCACCAAAAAAACTTTCAGTAGAAGGCAGTACTCAAGGTAACAAAATCTGGGCACAGAAAAGATAGTTGTTTATTCATTTATTTCATTGTAGTTCTATATGGAATCATATCTACTAAAGCAAAACAAGGTAGCTTATTAGCCAAGAAATTGAAAACGTTACACTACCCCCTTCCAAAAAAAAAAAATAATAATAAGAATGCTGGAAGATTTCTTATTAACCACAAACCACAAACGGCACAACAAAAATTCAAAAAAAAACTCTACTGAAGGTAGAAAAAACGTCAAAATCGGGTTATGTACTTGCCTAAAGCAAAATACAATGTCAAAATCAAGTATCAAAAGCAATAAAGTCTAAATAGGTTTATTTTTGGTTTAATTTTTTGGCGTTAGCACAACATAATCCAAACTGCAAAACAATATACTCGAAACTGCAGAGACAAATCATATTAGGAATACTATGTTTATGCTCACCAAGGTCAAATCCAGAGTTCAAAAATGAGCTCACAAAAATATTTCCAAAAAACTAGACATAGCTTCTGATGGCGGTACCTATAGTTCGATTATTCCTTTCAACAAAATTACACTGTGGAGAATACGTTGTGTCGTACCAAATCTTAACGCCATAATTCTTACACAGTGTTTTAAAAGTTTTTGAAACGAACTGAGGACCATTGTCACGAATCAGAATTTGGGGACAGCCATAAACTAAATAACTTCATTTTCCAAAACACGTTCGATTTGAGAAATAAGCAAACAAACCAACCTAAATAACAACTCACAAAAAAAAATGTCCCTACGCACAAAAGTTACCAAAAAACAGAACCACTCTTGGTTAAGAAAACTCAGCAAATAGAGAATAGTTTTAATGCAACACTAGCATAAATCAAATTAGTAATTCTCTATTGCATGTATTCTAATATCAAATCAAAAATTTTAAACTTTAATCAGTAGGACTCACGAACCATTTAAATTCAAACTCCAATCAAAATAGTTAAAAAAAATATTACACATTATATAATATAACAAAGTTCCAAAAAAATTATTGAGCCACTACTCCAATTGTCTTGTTAAGATAGAGATGTATTCAAGGACCACACACGTTTGGGTGTCAAAAAGTTAGCCATGCCCCACGTTGGGCGCCAATAAGTTAATTGTGACTTAACTAGGAAGATAACTTAATGATGTTATAAACAAAACCTGTGCAATTGGAGATCCTAACAAACACAGAACGACTGGCCCGATAACGGCACGAATGCGGAATGCCGAAAGGCCACTTGCGATCCGCTTAACGGCTGCCGCCTCGGCATGCTGGTAGGGCATGTCCGCCTGGCCGAAGGGTGGCTGAGATTCGGCGAGCCAGCCCTTCGGCGACGGTATAGGATAGGCATAACCGCCGACGGGCCACTAGTAGTATCGCCGAATCGGCGCGAATTCGGCATAGGACCGGTGGCCCGTACACGGTAACCTCTCCTCAGCCGCGGGTCTTAGCGGGTAGATGGAAGGGCGCCGAATGTTCGAGAATAGCTATTTACCTAACAAGTGCGGAAAATGAATTTTTCCGCACGAGTCTGCCGTTCACCGAACGACGCGTAGCGGAGTTCGGTGAAGCAGCCGAGTGCAGGAAAAACATTTTCCGCAAGTGTTAGGTACAATAGTTTTTCTACAGACATACGGAAATAAGCATACCTACATAATTTGTATCCATTTATTTAATATTTTTTTTGACAGCCGTGCGGAAAAATTGATTTTTCCGCACGGCTGTAGAAAATAGCTATTTCACCTAACAAGTGCAGAAAATTAATTTTTCCACAGGAGTCTGCCGTGAAGGAGCCGAGTGCAGAAAAACATTTTCCGCAAGTGTTAGGTACAATAGTTTTTTTACAAACGTGCGGAAATAAGTATACATACCTACATAATTTGTAGTAATTTATTATTATTATTTTTTTTGACAGCCATGCGGAAAAAAAAATCCGCACCGATATCAGTGCGGAAAATTTCTCCGCACGGCTGTAGAAAAAACATTATTAAGGTGAAAATTTTTCATAGCTCTAACAGCCAATTAAACTTTGTTATTTTTTGTCATGTGACACAAAATCACCCAATCATTTCAATAGG